AGATGAATTCAAAGATATTACTTGCCCAAAACCATTCTATATTTGCAACAAATAAAATATTCAAAATAAAATCACTTTCATGATTTTATCACTCATTAATTTGTCTCTTGTTATCATTAAGTTTAATATTTTTTCCACTTTTAAAGTAAAAAAGTACTAAAATGATTTATATACTTAATATATCATCATAAAAAGGATATAATTATATTATATTAAAAGAATAAATAAAAAAAAGGAACAAACAAGAAAATCATGACAAACATCATAAATGAACAACAACAAGCAAACAAAACACTAATTAATGAAATAGAATTATTAAAGAAACAATTAGCTGAAAACAAAGAAAACTTTAAGTTAAGAACTTGAAATGCTATTCACAGCCTTACTGAAAGTTCAGAATATACTGGAACAAGTTTAAGAACCTTAGAAAGATTTACTTGACCTAACAATGGTTGAATAAGTTATCCAGAAAAGAATGGAATTGAAATTGGAAGAGTTGTTTTTAGTGATGAATTCACTCCTGAAAATATTATTAAAAGTTTTGGTAGTGAAGCACTAAATTATGAAGAAGCTTTTGGTTTTACTTACCAAGAAAATGAAGAATTAAAAGTAAAGGATGCTCTTCTAGAAAAAAAGGTTGTTAAGTTACAGCAAATTAATCAAGAGTTGGAAGAAGCATTAGAACTAGAAGTGAAAACATCTAAATATCATTTAGAGGTTCTTGAAGTAGCTAGAAAATGGAGAATAAGGCAAAGCAAGAAAAAAGATGACAACTTAGAAAAGGCTTTGAAAAAAATAGAAATGCTAGAAAATGTTGTAGCATGACAGAATTATTTAGCAGATAAGCAACTTCAAGAATTACCATCCTTACCAAAAAAAGAAAGAAAATTCAAACTCCTAACTAACAAAGTAAAGAACAGAATTAAGCAAGTAAAGGAAATAACCAGAGAAAAATTCAATGCTTATATTTTACAAAAGAGTAAATAGTATGAAATTAGAATATCAAGCTATCAAATTAAGGAGAGGAGATAAATGGCATTGTAATTTCTGTTCTTTTGAAAGAGAAAGGAGTTTAGCTGCTACTTACAAAATAGTATCTTACAATACAAACAATAATAATTACAATGACATTGCTTATATTTGTGTTGAATGTAAAAAAGCTCTTGATGATAATACTTTGCCACATTATAATGATTGTGGTAGAATTATGAGAAGTAGGATAGATTGTTTTTGTGATTTAAGGAAAAATGAATCAGTTAAAACCCCAACCATAATAGAAATAATGGCACAGAGTTATGTTAGCAGATTGGAACAGCAGAATAAAGACTTAAAACAGCAACTATCCAGTGCTAAGGAAGAAATCAGTTCTTATTTGGAAGCCTTAGAAGTTTCAAAGGATTGACATAATAAGCAAAAGCAAGAATTATTAGATAAAATTCAAAGACTTGAAAGT